GTTGATTAACTTTAACTAGAAATTATATACTCTACATAATCTGACCATGTGAAGTCTGAGGCCAATATAGCCCCTAAATATTTAAACCTATTTATGCTATCTGACCTACGATCAAAAATAGAAAGAGATAACGAGGAAATAGTAAATAATTATCTATTACTTCCCATCAATATGGATTTGGTTTTAGAGAGCTTCAAAGTAAGTCTATTCGCTTTTAGCCACAATGCTGCGTTGTAGATACCTGAGTTCAACTTGCTCTCCTGCTCGCGAGGTTCTTTTGCGAAGCAGTAAAGAACAGCATCGTCAGCGTACGATGATACCTCGGAGTGTTGAAAGCCGAAAGTAACGGGAAGGGCTTCGGATAATTTATTATCACAAGAGGTTTGCTGATTCCGATTACTCAGATACGAAGAAAACCACTCCAAAGACCGTGGGGAGACTCCAACTGATGACGATTGGACATCAAGATCCCGTGATCGATTGTATCGAACGCCGTTGAAAGATCCAGGAATACAGCACCACAAATGTTCCCTTTTTCCATGTTTAATAAGACTTCATCGACAAAGCCAGACAATGCAGTGGCTGTTGAACGTTTAGAACGAAAACCAAAATTGCATATTTGAAAGTAAATTATTTGAATCAAGGTATTCGTACAACTGACAGTGGATTATCCTTTCTAAGATCTTGCTGAGAGTGGGTAGAATTGAAATAGGGCGATAGTTTGTTGGATTTTTTTCGGTCTCCAGATTTTAATAAAGCTGTCACTTTAGAGCACTTCCATATCCCCTGAAACTTCCCTGTGCGTATGGAAAGATTTATTAACTTCGTGATGGAATAAGTAATTGATTGGGCTCTACACTTCAAAAGCCTTGCACTTATGTTGTCCAATCCAATTGCTTTAGTTGCCTTGAGACCGCGTAACTGCTTATGAACCGCTTCACTAATTTCTTGAAATTGGAACAATCCAGAGTGACCATCAATTAGCAGTGAAGCACGAGCTACACATGATGTTTTTTCAGCAAAATCCGTCCTATGGACGCAAAATGAGAGTTCAGGGCAGAGGTGATTGACCGTGGATTTGTATGATGAGCTCCGTCAGCGATAATGCATTGTGGATCGAAGACTTGCTATTAGGAGATGACGCTTCGTTTACAGCCGTCCACAATTTACTTAAATCTCCTTTAGCTTCGCCGATTAAGTCACAGTAATATCTGGATTTGGCAGACTTTATTTCACGGTTCACTAAGTTTCTAAGCCTTCTATACTCTGGAAGTGCGAATTCGATTTAATAGCCTTGCGATAATGCTTATCACGGTCTTGCATGTTATAATTAATCTTGGTACTCATCCATGGCAATGGACTCAGATTCCTTGTTAGTCTCCTACTTGTTTTTGAAAACGTTTGCGATCCCTCTGGCAAAATTCGTTTTATCTCTGATACTCAATCAATTATAACGGCGGGAGTTACTAAAAACTTTTCAAGTAGAAAAGTGGGGACATCGAGATATTGCTTTTTGAACATATTCATTAAGAATTTTCAAGTTATCAGTGCATGTAACTGGGGTTACAAAAAAGACAGAAATAAAGCGTTGAGTACCAAGTGAGAAAGCCTAATATAAACTGCCATAAACGAGGAATTTTTCCGCAAAACTCAGCTTAGAGAGTTTAGCAAAGCGCATGAAAAATTTTCAGCTGTTCGAGTTGAACAGTATGAGGTTTTGTTTAAAATGATACTTTTCAATTGGATCGTTGGCTTGCCAATAAGGTGATCCAATATCTAACAAATTCCTTTTGAAATATTTATTCAAAGGAAGTGCGAGGTATAGAATTTCAAATTTGAGTTACAGTTGGTATAATATTGCATAAATTTACAATAATAATACACTGAAATACAACGCTGATTCTGGAACCAATTGGACAATGATAACAATACCCGATGGGAACTACTCTTATGAAGATATTAAGAGTTTCATGCAACAGTCACTTGAAAAAAATAGTCATTCAAAACCTGGTTTCGAATTAAAATTAGTTTCTTCAATTTTTAAAGTATTGGTAACACTTGAAGTGATGAAGCAGGTGTCCAGATTACTAATACAAATTTTCGTCAAGTCAAAACAGAGACACATGAGATGAAACTTCATTTCGATTCAAGCAAAGGGTATTACAGCAGCCGTGTAGGTTTGAATATGTTCCCTCTTACAACCGGTGAATACAAAGTCGTTTTTGAACTGTATTTTCCTTCAGCATCAATCAACTGTTCAACAGTCCAAATATCAGCCATCAGCAATACTGAGGCAGTTACAAGAATATCAACTAATACGCTCAGTAATCATAGCCGAAGTATAACTCATCTTCATAAATATAATAATGTGACTCCAAATTATCTATCGATTCATATGGTTTTAGAAATAACACTGGCATCTCTTATACACAAGACTTGCAAGTATTTGTCGTTGTGTAGGATGTTAAAGGGCACCAAAATGTGCTGCCGACGAGGGTATGGGATCAAGTTTATGACCTACGAAATGACACTCTTGAATTTCAAACTCCGGTAAAAGAGTTGACTGTACAAGATGCGGTAAATGATCAAAATCCGGTTACGAATAAAGTATGTATGATGCCACAGCAAAGGTGTATTATTATTGTAACAAAGTTTCACATGATAATGTTAGTGGGATCGTGTTCACTGCAAGTGGAGCTAATGTCTTAATTCCAGATAGTTCATTTCAGTTTCGATACTGCAAGTGGAACCATAACTTTTAACGTGTCTGGAATACATATAATACACATCAATGATGGTTATAAGGGCCTAGCTAAAACTTTACATTTCGGTGAACTAGGTGGATTAAGAGATGTTGAATGTTTAATGAACAGAGAGAAGGAAATGTTGTTGATCTCAAAAAGACAATTTCTAACAATGACAATTTGATAAAAACATAGGCAGGACAAATACATTTGATTTTGTTATGAGTACCATCAATAATTTCACTGGTGATCGTAATGGCACACTTGTCGCTTTTGTTGAGAAAGACTTTCATAACATCGAAAAAATAACTTGTGAAAATCTTGGTAACTAAGCTAACTCAGCTCCTTATATAAAAAGATCAAAGGAAAGAGCCGCTCTATCCTCAGCAAATTTTATGATGTTTCTGGGATCTCATCTCACCGGCGGTGTAATGAGATTGCAGAAACAGAGTAAGTTTTGTTGACCCTTAAGAGTGACTAGTATGAAATTTCTCCTTACATGATCACCCCAGAAAAACACATTTAGGTCATGAGAATAATGAAAATGATCTTTGACTAAAGAGACTCTTGATTATCGAACAAATTCTCATTGTCAGCACTTCAGGAGATGTATAGAGAACAGTGTGGAGAATATGTCTACTGATGTTAGGGTGTAAAGGGTTAAGTTTATTGTTACTAAACTCAGATAGTACTTATTTAGACTGCATAGTCAGATAACACTGACATCAACAGACTATATGGTAGTTACGACTCTTTGAGTTGCATCCGTTCGTTTCTTTGATCAATGCAAAGAGAATCCATCTTTGGCGGTTATGGTATGAAATTAGCATGCAATGGCTGCCATAAAGCAGGAAACAAAAAAAACTTTCGCGAGCTCATATTTATAGTAAGGCAAAGTGGCAACTCGAATGCATGCTACTGCAGCGCAAGTGCAGAATAATACGATTGCTAAGGAATAGCTGATAAGTGACAAACATGGGAAAGTATACAGCTATCGATTGGCGCTAGGAAACATTGAATGGATGAAATTGGGAAAAAGAGAGGGAAAGAACAAAGCAATAAGTAAGCGCGGGAAAATGTGGAGGTACTAAAAAGTGCGGGAAAAGCCCAGCTGCGGGAAATTTTGCCAAGGTGGAACTACTCTTTGGATCTGGCGCGTGATGTGCACGTGCGAACATTCTACTTTGGGTTCATCGCCCTAATACTATTGTGCATCAATCAGTCGTTGAAAACTGAGACCGAAAGTTATCTTAATGCGGTGAAAGAGTGGTGAACTTAGTTTTATTTACATTCAAAGGATTACAGTTGATTTCTGACAGCCACAGTTTTGATCAGATATAAACTTGATGTTCAAATAATTTTTAAATCATATTTGACCAATTCTTTGTATAACTCGATATCGACCTAAGGTTCAGACGTGCTTGATAAATCAAGAACAAGTGAGGTCGAAATTTCATTCAGAGGCCTTGTTAAAAGGCTTCCTTCCTGGATGACATAATCACATCTCTGTCAAAAGAATCAACCGTCCGACAAAGTGTTTCTATACAAACTGAAGTATTTTTTCATGGTAAGTTTAACATGTGTTAAATATCGGGGCTAGGTAAGGCTAAACGCAAATCTCAAATCTCCTTATCTCTCAGTCCGTAGGCGCTCAGCTGTTTTCCTGAGAACCACAACCGCCGTTTGGGTTTGCTTGCCCTTTCGCATGTCTTTACTGTCTTGGAGACTGGAACCGACTTTTTATGTCTCTATCCACCTCTAACCCCCCTTAAAACTACATACTGTTTTTTTAATCAGGCCTTGTGTGAGGAGGCAATAACTCTATTAACTCTATTGTTACAATACTAACTCGATACTTACTTAGACAGCATAGTTTTTAGTGTTTAGTTTATTATTTCGAAGAAAACTTCAATGTCAGATGGAGTGAAATTTGATGCTCCTGTGAAAAATTTACAATCTCCAGCTGAATGGCCCGTGGGGTTGGAGTACGTGCCACCGCATCTGGTATAAGATGATTGATTGTTTTTTGCGGCATTTGATATGTAGATATCATGTCTCGAGCCAAAAGTGGGTCCGTGAGAGGAACATCTGTACATCGCGCATCGACTTTATAAGCTTACACATTCCTTTGAAATGACAAAAAGTAAGCTATCCGTACTCTAGCAACACATCTTTCTTAGAAAGTTTTTTACAATATACGATCTGATTTTGCTACAGGCCACACTAAGTATTTATCCTCGAAAATAGGTGTTTTTCTTAATTACCTGCTTCATAGAATACTTCGACGTCCGTTGGGGAGAAATTAGACTCCCCTGTAAAAAAACTACAGTTACCATTTGAGTATCCTGAGGGTGTCGTGTACGTGCAACCGCATTTGGTGTAGGATTTTTGGTTGTTTCCGGAGTCCTCGGATATGTAGATATCATGACCACACCCCCTGCCAAAGGTGGGTCCACGCGTATTACATCTGTATATTGCATATTCCTGATTTCGGTATTGTGTCAACTTAACGGGATTATATCCTTTGACGTTATAGAGAGAGAAGATGAAAGCTTTACTGGCGTAAGAAAAACCCGCACAAGAACTAGCTGAAATAGAAGAACAACGTAGTTGTACATTAAAAAGTTGTAATAAAACACGACCCCCTGAGGAAGGAGGGGGGGAATTCAGTTTCTATCATGAACTAGGAGGAGAGTTTTATCTCAGACTAGAGATTTGTGAAAGGGAGGGAGATATTTTAGTAGTTTTGGTATAGAAACGAGTACCAAAAAAATCATGGAAGACTTGAGGGTTTATCAAATAGGAAACATTTCTATAGACGATATAGGTATGCAGAAATCTTGATGAACAAAAAATTAAAAAATATGAAATAATAAAGGCTTAGAGCTCTTATCAGAGGAGCATCGCTCAAAACTTCCTCCAGCACCTCCTCCCCACCCCCCTTAAATCCCTAAAGGGACGATAGTTGATTCTATAAAATTGTCTTGTCCCCTCTTAAAAAATTTGATATACCTACCTCCGCTCCAGGACACATCAGTATATCCACCAAATATGTAATCGTTCACTCTGATGATTGTCACTGTTGGTCCCCTCCCATCGCAGTTGCTGTGGAATGTCGATGCCGCCCAGCCGTCAGTCTTAGCGTGCCAACACTTCACAAACCTGCTCCACTCTGAACTCAGGAGGACTGGCTCTAGGTAAGAAAGCAGCTTACCTGTGTAGTTGTTGTAGTCGAGGGTGGTAAGAATGACGGAACTATTAAGGCCACCTATACGAATAACCGAAAAAGGGAGAAAAGGTAAAGATTGTCCTACCTGAAAGTTTGGCATCATATTGCTTTCGTTATCTTGGTGGTGGTAATGTCTACATTTCGCTTTTTTCGTTTTTACGAATAACAGCGTGACAATCGTTGTGTGACGCACGTCGATCTAAGGCACAACACGTGTGAACTGGGAAGTGCACCCATGGAAACGTTTTCTCCCTTTCAGACGTGTTAACGCGATAAAGCCATGAAAGCGTGTTTGAGTGACATTCCAGATTTCTAAACCCAGTACACGTAATCATATCTCGCCTCGTTATTTGCACCAATCAATGCTCTTTTAGAATGAAAGGAAACCACGAGATAAAAACATGATAATAATGAAAAAAGAAGAATTAAGGTTGATCAAGATAGAAAGTTCGACATAGTTGTAAGCAACAAACTTCCAAGATCAATGATATTGTTTCTTTTTTAAGGGAGGTGGGGGGGGGGGGTGGTCAGTTAGGCGCCAAGTGAGACGTATCAGTTCAATCCTTTAACCCCTTAGAGGGTTTGGCATTTAACTTCTCCTTACCGTATTACTGCTGAACCAAACATGAGAAACATGGGAAATAATCACCAAGTTATGAAGCTCTTGATTGTTAAGTAAATTCCCCTCGGCATTACCATACGGAACAGTGTGGAGAATATCTGTACTGATGCTAGGGAGTAAAGGGTCATAATGTAGCCTGTTGTTTGGACGAATTCCACCTTGGTCTCGATTTAGGACCGACTCATGTTTAAAAAATATGTATTTTCGAGAACTAATTTCCAAAATAAGCTTCATATGATGATAAAGAAAAATAGAGAATGCGAAATGCGAGTATCATAACATACTGAGGTCGCTAGTGTCTTATTGTTAGTTAAACTTACGAAAATAGCAGCTTTTTCCGTTTCCCTGGTACCAGGGATTACAGATGCATCGATAGGAACCAACGGTATTGCTGCAGTAGGCATTGACGTTAAATTTCGTCACCATAAAGTTGTTTTATCGGATTGCTATTGAACAATTAGCTAAATGTGTCAGAGAGGAAAGTTTCCAATTCTGTTTGATCTGATCTCAAATCGATCGGTGTGAGAGAGATGATGGATGCATTCTGGTGGCATTTTTTATTTTTTTTTGTGGCGGGGTGGCCAAGGGGAGTCGCAGTCTACCCATAACATCTCTGTCAACGCGTTTGTTAGTGGTGAACCGTTTTTTGTCTGTAGAAGAATTGATAAACACTTGAATTCACCTTCAGTTTTCATGTCACAAGGAGCCAGAAAAGTTCTCTTGGGTACAATTGAGTGAAACCAGTATTTGCCGCTTTTCGCTTCTCCTCCTTCGCTCATTTTGATTTCCTGGCAAGTCTCCGCAGGCAGCTCAGGAATGGAGCCGAGAGGAACTGGAAGAAAAAGGCAATTATTAGCATAGCAATTCAGGTAAGCAAGACTTGATATTCGTCTTGAGGGCAAATATACTCATATTGAGGGCGACTTGACTTAGGCAAGAAGGGAGGTGATGCGAGGCAATTACTTAAATTTCTAAAATTTCCTTAAAAATTTGGGTGAAATTTTTTGCTCTGAAAATGTCTTTAAAGGGAAGAAGACAAAAAAATGTACAAACCTCTTTTGTAATCTCGCTTAAAGTAAAACCTCTCAGGGTTCGGAACATAATCCTCTGGTCTGGCCTCCTTGGTTCGGTTGCTCAGCTCACAAATGTCTTGCGTAAAGACATAGTTGAAACTTTGACATCTGACGTCGGTATAGCATTCCCGCAAGCACACATCTGAAAGACCAGCCCCCGCGATCGTCTTGAAAATGTGGCGTTGTAACATCATACCAAATTTGGAAACTTCCGGCTGGCCCGTAGCCTCCCATTGCTGTGTAGCTGTACAGCATAACAGTAGGCTCATGATCAACAGCTTTACTACATACAAGACCTTTTTGACGATTTCCTCTCGACGCATGTTTAGGAAAAAACCTTCCCTGAAAAGAAAAAAGCAAAAAATCTGCTGGGCTAAAACTTACCCTAAACTTCTTTTTAATCTGTAGACTGGTTTTTCGTGAGTTTACGATCAACATGCATGCTTCTATGTTTGAAATTTTTACTTTATTTTTTACGAATTGCGTGTAGAGAAAAGTCATATATTTGCCAAACTAGACCTCAAATTTCAGGAAAGCAGATATCTGTGCACTGCCAAAACTTATTTAGTCATTCAATATTTGTGGTTTTTAACCATTAGCTTGACTTGCATTCTGATCAGGAAATGGAATATTAAATGAATAATGGTGAAAAGCTGGTTAGAGCTGTATCAGTTAGGATAGTTAGTAGGGAGCTGTTAACGAGTTAGGATTTGGAGTTTCTCCTTTATCGAGCTGCCGCTTGAACAGCGATCGAAAACCGATTGTTGGCGACTGGAGGTCGTGATACGAAGTCAAAGTTCTACTTTTGAGCAAACACTCCTTCGAGTTAGGATTTTGAGTCGGATTTCGCGCTGGATTTTCGAGTTGGAGTTACTAGTAAGGCAAGGCATAGAACTTGAAAAGATGCCGAAATAGTTCATTTAATTTTTGCGGGCTACAAAATTATTTGCGGTCCTGCATGACATAATTTTATATGTTAGTCAGGTCCATACGCTTTGGTTTGTTTAAGAATTGTTTATACTAGTCAATTATTCAAGACTCGAACTCCTTGTTAGTCTCCAACTTTTTTTTGAAAACTTGTGCGATCCTTCCGGCAAAAACTCTTTTATTTCTGATACTCACTCAATTATACCAGCCGGAGTTACTAAATTCTTCAAGCTGCAAAGTGATGACATCGAGAAATTGCTTTTTGAATACATTATTCAAGAATTTTCAATTCATCCTTACATGTTAGTGGGGTTTAAGAATTGTTTAACCTAATCAATTATTCAAGACTCGGACTCCTTGTTATTCTCTTACTTGTTTTTGAAAACTTTTGCGATCCTTCCGGCAGAAATTCGCTTTATTTCTGATACTCACTCAATTATACCGGCCGGAGTTACTAAACTTTTTAAGTTACAAAGTGGGGACATCAAGAAATTGCCTTTTGAACCAATTTTCAAATTATCGGTGCATGCAACTGGAGTTACAAAAGAGAGTGAAATAGAAAGTTGAATACCGAGTGAGAAAACAAACGTAAACAGTGTAATGTAGACAGTTGAGTGGAATGTGAAAACTCTAGTGCCCTTGGGTGGACCTGGTTGCTTCATTTACCAAAAGGAATAAGGATAATTTTCAAACTGCATTCAAATTTTCTGACATGATTTCTGGGTTTCATCGAGACATCGATAGTTTTTTCCTTTACCAGAAAATACCTTTGCGTAGCCATGCCATTCTGAGATAGCTCTACCTGTAACTGGGATACTTTGGAACTAAGCCTATACATATCCCTACCGTTTTCTCTGGAAATGTTTCTATGCTGGCGATTCTTGTCTGTATGTTAGTGTAGCTCTCTAATTCAACGACTAAGCTGAATTTCCATATCTTAGTCAGGTCCATACGCTTTGTTTTGTTTACGAATTGTTTAAACTAATCACTTATTCAAGACTCGGATTCCTTGTTAGTCTCCTACTTGTTTTTGAAAACTTTTGTGATCCTTCCGGCAAAAAATCGTTTTTTTGTGATACTCATTCAATTACAGTGGCCGAAGTTACTAAAAACTTTTCAAGGTGCAAAGTGGGGACACCAAGATATTGCGTTTTGAACATACTCATATAGAATTTTCAAGTTATCAGTGCATGTAACTGGGGTTCCAAAAAAGTTGAAATAAAAAGTTGAGTACCGAGTGGGAAAACCTAATACAAACTTTCATAACGGAGAAATTTTTCCGCTTAACTCAACTAAGTGAGTTTAGCATAGCGCATGAAAAATTTTCAGCTGTTCGAGTTTGACAGTATGAGGTTTTGTTGAAAATGATACTTTTCAACTGGATCGTTGGCTTGCCAATAAAGTGATCCAATATCTGACAAATTCCTTTTGAAATATTTATTAATGGGAAGTGCAAGAATTTCAAATTTGTCCGCGTCTTTAAGCCTGACTCTTTCTCCAAAGCTGATGATATCAATTATTTAAGACTCAAAACTTCATCATAATCTTTTATTAGGACACTTTCATCACATCACTGTGGTTTTCAGAAAAGGTCCTAAATTATATTAAAAATAATAAATTTAACTATATACAGTAAAATGAAGGATACCTAGAGATAAAAAGCTGCAACTGAAACACGAAGCAGCCTTCCACAATCTACTTGAATCTCCCTTAGCTCGATCGCTGATAAAGTCATAGTAATATCTAGACTTGGCAGACTATTTCACGTTTCACCAATTTTCTAAGAATTCGATTTAATAGCCTTGCGGTAATGCTAATCACGGTCTTGTATGGTATCATTAATCTTCGTACTCATCCATAGCAATGGACTCGGATTCCTTGTTAGTCTCCTACTTGTTTTTGAAAACTTTTGCGACCCTTCTGGCAAAAACTCGTTTTGTTTCTGATACTCACTCAATTATAACGGCCGGAGTTACTAAAAACATTCAAGTTGCAAAGTGGGACACCAAGATATTGCTTTTTGAACATATTCATCATGAATTTTCAAGTTATCAATCCATGTAACTGGGGTTACAAAAAAGACAGAAATAAAACGTTGAGTACCAAGTGAGGAAACCTAATATAAACTGCCATAAACGAGCAGTCGCTTGAACAGCGATCGAAAACCGATTGTTGGCGACTGGAGGTCGTAATAAGAAGTCGAAACTCTACTTTTGAGCAAACACTTCCTCGAGTTAGGATTTTGAGTCAGATTTCGAACTGGATTTTCGAGCTGCAGTTTCCAGTAAGGCAAGACATTGAACTTGGAAAGATGCCGTAATAGTTCGTTTAATTTTTGCGGGCTACAAAATTATTTGCGGTTATGCATGACATAATTTTACATATTAGTCAAGTCCATACACTTTGTTTTGTTTAAGAATTGTTCATACTAATTGATTATTCAAGACTCGGACTCCTTGTTAGTCTCCTACTTATTTTGGAAAACTTTTACGATCCTTCCAGCAAAAACTGGTTTTATTTCTGATAGTCATACAACTAGTTACAAACTAACTAGTTGCAAAAAGGAGACATCAAGATATTACTTTTTAAACACTTTCATTAAGAATTTTCAAGTTATCAGTGCATGTAACCGGAGTTTTTAAAAAAAGATTAAAATAAAAAAGTTGAGTACCGAGTGAGAAAACCTAATATAACCTTTCATAAAGGAGGAATTTTTCCGCAAAACTCAACTTATAGAGTTTAGCATAGCGCATGAAAAATTTTCAGCTGTTCGAGTTGGACAGTATGAGGCCGTGTTTTGTTAAAACAATACCTTTCAATTGGATCGTTGGCTTGTCAATAAAGTGATCCAATATCTAACAAATTCCTTTTGAAATGTTTATTAAAGGGAAGTGCGAGGTATAGAATTTCAAATTGGTCCGCGTCTTTAAGCCTGGTTCTTTCTTCAAAGCTGATGATAAGAGATCTTTATTATTCAGCGACCAAGCTGAAATTTTATGTCCTAGTCAGGTTCAAACATACGGTAATATAATCCTGTTGTTGCACCTACCTAATGAGGAATCACACAGGACTATGATTGCTCTGAAAATAATCACCTTTTGAAATTTCAACCAGTTAAAAAAACCTCTCGTGAACATTAATTTCTGCACCCTTCCATTACTACGCAAAAAGTTTTGAGTGATTCGTATTACACCTTCCTATAAAGAGACAGGTCAAAAGTGACTTTGGAAATACTCACATTTACTTTACTGAGTAGTATATTAGATAGCGGTTTAGGACCATTCCGGCAAAATGGAAATACTTACATTTACTTTACTGAGTAGTATATTAGATAGCGGTTTAGGACCATTCCGGCAAAATGGTCTCAAACACGCCATCTACTACACTACTCACCATATCATGGAATAATTTGCTGAAATTATGGGATAAAATTATCTGATGAAATTCTGCTATAACAACAAAAGAATTCTGACAAATCCAGGATGTTTTTATTTCTTAGTAATTGACTAACTGCCCACGTATTGACGTCACTGAGCAGTGACTCATATTTCAAGATTAAAAGAAATTTATTGACAATAAAGTTATGTAGTAACGTTTAAGATAGTGAAGTCTATATCTGCTCTGCAGAATTAAATATCAACTTGTGAAAAGAATATGCAACAAGCTTTATCTCAATGTGCTTCATTGGTTGGAGGAGAGACATATTTTGTATTTTGCTTTTCTCTGTTACAATTCATCGACAATTTTCTGGTGTATTCTGAAACGATACGTAATGTTACAAAGGTTATGGAGATTTTCAAAAAATGTGGGAAAATATTGGCTTTGGAAAACCAACGTCGAAATTATCGAAAAGAATTGAAAAAATATTGATGAACGTGAAAGAGAGGAAACCATAAAGTGTCTGACTATGCGTCATTCTTTTAAAAAGAAAGCATTAGAGTTGAAGATACCGAGCCCGAGCAACAGTCAAGAAGAACTGCTATTCAATAACTTTTAATATTTATGATGTCCATGAGAGTAAGATGTTATTCCATCGTGATTAATGTACCGCTTGTCATCGAAGCATGATTATGATACTTTGTTTGATTCATAACTACCAAGTTCAGGATTTTTGGAAACATATTAATGTCAGTGATCAGTTCTAATTTTATTTCAGTTATTTCAACAAAGCATCTAAAGACAGTCCAGGAGATGTAAAAAAAATGACATGGATCAAGTTTATAATATTGCAGACAGGACTTTCTGAAATTGTTAAATACATCAGTAAGCATTAGAATATTATAAGACAGAGATATAATGATACTGACCCATTGTCTTTAGATTGAATGTCAGCCGCACATCTTGAGCATGTTTACATTGCTCATCAGATGAGCTTATCTTAAAGAATGCTGTAAAA